TTAACATTAAAAAACAGGCCTGATGGTGATCGAACGGAACTTGAATTAAGTCAACGTAAAAAAGTGAGTTTTAAGACGTGATTTAAAAGACTGAACAGAGTCTGAAGATTATTCCAGAGTCTAGGTGCTGCAACTGCAAACTGCACTGATGGGAATTTAACTTAAAACCTGAGATTTGTCCTGGTGTGCTTGTGTAACAGCGCCTTTGTAAGTATTACATACACTATGTACATATAATACACACAGACACATGTGTGGTATAACAACAACAACATATAATAATTATATTTTTAATTTATATTTCCTTTTTTAAGAGAAGTTAGTGTAACTCTGCTTTTAGGTTGAGGGTTCTATTTTCTGGCGAGTGCCACAGATGGAATAAAAGATTTAGCCATGATGTCACCCACTCATCAGGGAGGTCCCATTATGTAGCCTTGAGCTGAGTGTTTTTGAAACCGAATGTAAGTATATTTGCAAACTTATCAGATTTTGAGGTTTTAAAGATGAAAAGTCTTTTGTTTCCTTTCATTGGGGGCTAATGACAAAAAGGGCAAAGAAAAGCCAACGTGCCCTGCTTGGTTGGATTAGACACACTTTCCAAAGACAAAGAGAACAGAGAGGTTCATGGCTGATGCAACATAACACTTTTATATCATGTTCCCCGGTGGTTCTTATTTCTTATGCAATGATCCCGAGCATAGCAGCAAGTCTACAACAGAATGGCTGAAAAAGAAAAGAGTCGAGGTGATACAAGATTCAGAGCTCAGCCTGATGCTGTGGTGGGATCTTGAGAAAGCTGTGCTTAAACAAATGTTCAAACCTCAGAGAACAGAAGCAGTTTTATATGGAAGAGTGGACCGAAACTCCTCAGCAACAAATTCCGAGGACTAGATGCGACTATGTTTGAAAACCTGACCTCTTTCTCAAGTTATCGGAGTGCCCACAGTGCCCCATCAGCCTTTTACAGCTAAAATAAAAAAATACCCAGGCTGAATTGAGATTTGAAATGTATGTGTACAGATACGGAGATACAGAAGCACACAAATAAATAATAGATCAAATGAGCTAGGAGCTGTTTTTGGTTTGTTTACAGCAGGTTGGACAAGCGCTGATATGGATTAACCTTCAGGCTCGCAACAACATCAATATTCCTAACAAAAATATTCATCTTGCAGCCTAACTCACATCGGAAACAAACAATTTAAAAATCTGCCCTGTCTATGTTGAATTATGAGCATAATGAATGATCAGTATCAGTGTGCTATGACTGTGTACGGGGCTGCACAGCCTGTCGGTGGGTGGTACTGTCTCTCAGCGTGGGTGCTGTGTGAGGATGCCTTGTGTGGCTGTGGCTGTGGCGTGAATTCACTTCACTTTCTGAGAATTAGAGATGAGCCGTCTCATCATGGCACCACTGTAATGATGCGCTGTGATATGTAAGCCACCACCAAATGGAGCTTCATGCACCAACAGGCTTTTCTTTCCTAGCTTGTTTGCTAGTTTGCAGTTTTAGGTGTCCAAATATATCATTTCCCAGCTTGTCAAAATGACCAGACGGACAGAGAAAGCAGCAATTATACTGAAGGGGAAATGCTGTGCTCACCACCTAACATACACCATAAGTCATTCAGGTTCTCATCAAGCCCTAAAATACTGGCATACTA